TTGCAGCAGCCGTGCCTGCCGCCAAGGCGTCTTCAGTCCAACCATGATGATGAACTTCTTGTAATGATGATTTCAAAATGGCAGTGCGAATGCTGGACAAGGTAGTAGTAGTCTTTTCCCAGTGGTTATTGCTTTGGCAGCTGCCACCGGGGCGAACAGTGGAACCGTAAAGTCTGCTGCCATTATTGCTGACTCGTGATGTTGGAGATACAACTCTTCGGGCTTTTTTCCCTGCGAACACTGCGTGCCTTGCATGGTAAGAAGAAGAAGAAGGAATGGTGTTGGGGTTCGGGGTTGGTTGGAGATTGGGTTAACTGGAAAAAGCAAAAAGCGAAAAACTCAAGAAACAGTTTTTGCCAGCTTTTTCCGAAGCAGTGTTCTACTTCGCAAACAAAAACTTGTTAAGAACGCACAAAACTTGAGGTAAAAGTCGCTGAATGGTTGTGCACGACTTCCAAGTGGAATCAAGTGGTCGTGATAAAGTCGCGGTAAGGTCACAAAATTCTATTAGCTAATAAAAAAACAAGGCACTCAAAAGTCGTTCTGAAGTCGTGAAAGTCGTGAAAGTCGCGATAAAGTCGTGGTGCACGACTTTCGGCGATCATTCTAAAGTGGGTGTCTTTACATCTGAGGTTTGCGAGTTCGTTATAGCTCAGTTCAGTGGAATCGTCTAGTGAGGTTAGTCTTAAAATGTTGTTTCATTTTTTTTAAATCCAGCACAACTTTTGTTGAAGATGAGGAATTTGACCATAACTCTAGCGCCTTCCAGATGGATCAAAGGATCAACATGGTCTCCGTTATTTTGAGACAATTTCACAAACATGTATAAAGTTACATTCATTCTCCAAGTGATTTAAGAATTGAGACCGTCAGAAGGGGGCATTTATTAAGGTCCTCCTTCCGTTTAACCGTTGTCCATCGGTTTTTTATTTCTCTAGCTTTGTTTTTTCTGCTTAATAGCGTTCAACTTCACATAACCAATGGGATAAACGATAACCCTCATACTTCATATGTTCATTGTTAGATCAACGGGCATTCGCTTTTGTTGTGGAATCATCATTAATGAACTCTTTGACGAGACCAACTTGGTAGTTTTCGAACAGGCTTCAGGATTGTCATGACACTCTAGTAGCAGATTCTGGTCCATTGAGCCTGCCTGGAGTTCTGACATGGTTCTTGATCTGACCCTCATGCACAGAAAGGTCCGTGTCATTTCCCTCGTATTTCTTACAGGTGCTGCAGTACTTGCTATATAGACATCAAGTCACCGGTTTACGAGTGAAATATCCAACAAGAAAGTCATGAACACTCCAGAAATCTCTCAAAATTGCTTCCACGCACTGGAACGCTTCTGCCAGCTAGCTCATGTCCGTCAAAATAGCGATAAAGGTCTCCCCACTTGCTAGTATTCACAATATTATCTAGAATTCCAGGTGTTTTGTCCTGTTTCCAAAAATCGAATGTGTTGTTGTCAGAGACATTAGCCATGGCCAGTTTGACTTCACAGCCAGCCATGGTCAGTTCCACTTCACAACAAAGGTTGTTGGCCATTACTTCCTCGGTGATTGATAAAATTGTAGGAAATACTTCTTCTCAGTTTCTGTGAAGGTCAAATGAGTCATAGGGTTTACCGAAAGCATATCCATGAAACCAAGCAGCTTTACAGATTCTGTTTCTCCATGATCATCTGAAGCCATGAATGCAAGAACCCAGTGAATATAGGTTTCCATCTGTGCATTGTTTCGTCTGCCAGTTTTACACTTCAAGTTTGTTGTTGCATATTCTCCTTCCTTTGGAAAGAACTTAGCATATTTTGGCGAGGAATACTCAAGGGGATAGGGGCTACTCTAATTATCTTGAAAAATAAATTCATACTTCTAAAAAATATATATAACGAAGTTTTATTTTAAAGGCTACACCTCGTCAGGCAATTCCGCTGAACGGTGCCGTGACGAACCTACATACCTCAGACGCACAAAGGCGCCCACTTAGGAATGGGTCTGGTGTAAGCCCCCCACCGGAGAAATTGAGTAAAACTCCGGAGGGTGCTGTACAACTAACTATCTAGGCTAGGCTGAATCGCCCGCTATTGCTATGGGAATCCCGCCTCTGTGCATAGTTACTCTGCTTGGGAAAGCTGCTCGCGTGCATGCTCGTCTCTCATTGCTTTGTCAACAACTGGAAGCCAATTGGCCAGCCATGCCTTGATATCCCCCGGCCCTTTGGCCATCTGTTCTTCCAGGGGTAGTTTGAAGATGGTATCAAGAAGATGTTCTGGGAGTAGATCTGCTTTTCATACAGGAGCTCTACTTCTTGTTGGAGCTGTTCGTGTTTCTTGCGCCATTTTTGCAAATTCATACTTCTCAATTAATCACAGTCTAGATATTTTGTGTTGGCCCTGACTAGCTCTTCCGCAGAATGTGTATTCACAATCTGCCTTTTTGCATTGGGCTTTGCAGTGGTTTTTTCGATGGGAGGGTGAATAGTGAAGTTATCTGTTCTTCTGGAAGATATTTTGATGACTACGTTGTCCCTGAAGGAAAGGATTGGCATTTTGTATGAGGGCCTCTATTCGTTTTTTGGTCATTCCATGAAATGCTCACATTCACTATCCTCTTCGTATCATAGCGATTGCCTCCCATCTTCTCATATTCCCGAGAAGCTTTGTTCTTTGATACATTATCCAAAGAGGAGGAACTTATAGCAGCAGCAGTCTTCTTGGATCTTGGATCCTATCAAAGCCAAAAATTTTTTTGGGCTATGCTTTCTGGAAAATTTTACTCCTACAGGAGCGGCTGATAATCCGCGAATCGTGGCACGATCCGCGGATTTAACGGATTTCCACGAATCCGCGATCCACGAAACGATCCGCCGATCCGCGAATAACCGCGAATAACCGCGAGAATCGCGAGATTTAAGAACCATTTCCTCTATATCTTTTAAAAGTGGCATCCCAAATCTCGCGGATTTTCGCGGTTTATTCGCGGCCGCGCTCGCGGATTCGCGCCGCGGCCGCGCGCGAGTCGCGGATTCGCGGAAGAGATGCTCGCGAGTCCCGTTTTCAGGCGCTCCAGGTGAAGCAAGTAGCTTTCAGTTAGCAAGTAAGTTGAGGTGCTGGTTAGGAATACGTCCCGGCAGTCGGTGGCGAGGCAAAGCTATTACCGTGCTTGTCGTACGAGGAGTGCTGTACTCGTTTGGACAGGAGCGGCTATGCAACGTTGGGATTAACGGTTCCGGCTCGTACACTGTACTGTTCAAACACAGTACCGGCGAGACAGAAGCTGGCAAGGACCAGTCTTGAGGAAACTATGCTGATCTGGGGTCTGGGTAAATCAATATGTCAATTGTTTTAGTAAATACTCCACCTGACTAACTACCACGTAACTGGTAAAGACGTGTCTTCGAGCCAATAAGACTTAAATGCATACAAAATTTCAGAAGGGAACCTTAATGGCCTGGGTAGTACCAGCAGGATTTGTTCTCGAAGACATTTGTTTGTTAATTAATCTCGTTATATTTCTGTTTGCTTTCTGCAACGGCCTCATTGTCACTGGTATAAACACATTTTGCCACGATCCCCAGTATACATCATCAGATTCTGTACTCAGCAAGGTATAGTAAACTTGAAGCGGGTTTTAAGTTCGGGGCACATTGTCCTTGCGAGTCACATTGCCAGCCACGTGGTCCAAACTCCTACTCGACCATTAGCTTGCATCAACCTGCCAAACTACCGACGAGCGACAACAGTAGAGTTGCTTTGTTATTGTGACGGTCGAGCTTGCAATCATGAGATTATAAGGAACCTGCATCCATTCATAACATAGCGCATCCAGACGAGGGATGGTTGTTGGACGGTGCGGGGAACGGAGCAAATGACGCAGAGATTTGATATCACGAAGGCTTGGCAGCAATGACGCAATGATTTCACCTTTCAAGGAAGTGGCTTGTCTCACTTGCTTCCTTTGTGAATGCGGTTGTTTGATGAGATCAGGTCTGCGAAATCAAAGCCTGGGATAAGCTCTGTTTTAGCTGTGCTATTGAGTGCACATCAGACGGCTGGGTAGAGACAAGTGACAAACCCATCACTGACTCCTCATCCGACACCATTCCACCCCGGTCCGTACGCTACAGCTACAGGTCATGAGAAAGCTGACGTTGGTGGGCAAGGTCGCTGAACCGAACCGGCGATGAAAAATTCCTGGATGAAGCTGACCCGCTGTACCTGTGTGTGTTAACGGTCCTTGCCGGTTCCATAGAGCTTGGGATCCCAATCGCACGCAGAGGCTCTACGAGAACCTGGACACAGCATTACAATACGATTAAAGACTACCATGGCTGAAGGCGGTCCCACAACCAGCGCGCAGCTGGTGTGGGGTACCTGTCATCCTTGAAACTTGCCCACACAGGTCAAAGATTGGGCGGGTGGCAACATGGTCAGCCAACCTGTTTGCTCCGCCTCTCGAGATAAGTTAAGATGGGATACAGGCCGGCTGTCCTCAGAACCTCATCAACTGGTGGGTAATGCCAAACGCCTCCAATGAGCTTTGGCATTTTGCCAGTAATCCGGCGAGCCACCTTGTGATGAAAACCTTCCAATATGCGAAGCATGGTGAAAGTGAGGGTCCATGTCACGGTCTCGGACCCATACAACAACATCGTCTGGACCACGGCCTTGCAAAACATGCCAGAAACCTTGGGACGCGCTGTACCTGATGAAAGCTGAGTGCCGTGGAAGCAAATGTGGTCGTTCTTACGGTACTTGAATTGCATCTGACCATCTGACGGACCACGGAGGCGTCCTGGAGACTAGTCAAGCAGGAGTTCTACCAGTACGGTATGGATATGCTGTTGTGGTCTGGTCTGGTCCAATGAGGTCGCCGTGACATCGATTTTGACAATCTGATGTTTGCCCTGAGAGCACGAGGGCCTGATCAATCATCTCTTCTGACACCATGTGCAAAGGTGATGGTGACAAGTCAAGGGGGTTTGTGTGGATGTGGGGGGTCGGGTGCTCAGCTGTGCGATCTAACCAGGGGTCGGGTGCTCAGCTGTGCGATCTAACCAGGTCTCTGGTATCCTTCGTTTCGTTTGCTGCAGACGATCCCATGTTGATGCTTTCCTCGCAGTGGACTATGGATCCTATTGAAGAGTGGGTTCTCAAATGAATTAATCAGGTTATCTGAGCTATCGCGGTCGGTCGCTTGAGTTGGGATCACCTGGTGGGTTTTGCTGCTGTTGCTGTTGTTGCTGCTGCTGGCTCAGCAGAAATTGCAGCACGGCTTGTGCCTGTTGACTTTGGGGCATGGAAGCCCGTGTTGCAGCTGCTGCTGCAGCTGATGCTACCTCTGGCCCTGGCCTACTGGGCAAGCCTCTTGCGGCTACTTGTTCTTGTGGGCTTCCTCTTCCAGCACCGAGGGATGCGCCGCTGGCGGTGGCAGCGGCATGAAGAACCGATGTAGGCTGGGAAGCACCACCCTGGGGTCTCCCGCGCTGTCTTCTGATCTTGTTGCACAGACTACGTTGCCCTTTTTGGAAGTATTGATGAACAAACCCTCCTTTCTCTGGGCCGTCGTCTATTCTCTGGAAGCCATACAAGTTGAGTTGTCGTTGAAACGAGCTCATGCGCGATGTACTGAAGTACCTTGGCATTATTTCCTCTATTGGGTTGGATCCAAGACAGAAGAGAAAGAGCATGAGAGTGGGCAAACAGCAAGCAGCGCTCTGACATCTTTCATTTAGAAGCAAGAAGGGCCTTCCAGAAATTCCGCAGCACCATGTTTTGCCACGTACCAACAAATCGCTTTGGGTCATGCACAATGAACGCTTTGCCATGTGGGAAAAAGGACACAATGTCCTCTTGGCCATTCTTTTCCACCTCGAACAACATCCGATACAATTTGTGGGGAAACGTTTCGTTGATTATCTGGACTCCGTCTTCATCGTTGAAGCCAAACAGCTCGAAGTATTCGGCATCTTTCATTTCTGGTTGATCATCTTCTGGCGGTTGGGGTCGATCAGATTGTGGGTACTGAGCACGTGAAAGGTCGGGATTCGCTTGAGCCGCAGGAATGGACTGGCGCAACGATGCCCCTTGAATATGTTGTTGTTGAACATGAAGTGCCGCAGTCAGAGCCGAGTTTCCTGTTGGATTTGCACCTAAAAATTGAGAGAGTTGCGGGTACTGTTCGTTACCTTGTAGTGACAGCGCTGGAAGCGGAGCCGAGCCAGCCCCAAAGCCACTCAATCCGCGTAATGCAAGAAGCTGGTCGGCTGTGGGTGCGGGTGCTGCTGCTCGGTCTCGGTGCGGCTGAGCAGCAGCATGGGCTTGCGAGACTTGGGAATGAGGCAAATGCAGGCTTTGTGGACCAGCAGCAGATGACGTAAAGCCAGCATTGGCTGCCGGTTTTTGAGGGGCCAATCGCTGGCTATGCTGTTGCTGGTGTTGTTGCTGCCGTTGCTGCGCCAACAGGAGACGCAAGTTGGCTTCCCTTAGATTTGCCTGTGCTTCCCTTAGTTGTGCTTCAGCTGAAGAGCCGCCATCGAGGGCCTGGGCCTGTGCTGCCATGAATCCTTGCTGTTGTGAATCTGGCAGATAAGGCACCCCACCGAAGTTGAGATTAGTAGGTGCTGTGGCCCCTGATAATCCTGCTCTTTGTCTGAGAAGCTGGACCTGCAGTGGGTCCAATGTAGAGCCACGAGCCTGTGGACTGCTCCCTGGAGGGATATCACCAAGGAAGGTGGAAGCAGACGAGAGCTGGTTTCCCAAAGCTTGTCGAGCAGCTGCAGCATTTTCATCTCCTGGGAAACGAGACAAAAGCCTACCAGTAGGGATATTTGCAGCCATGGATGCATTGGTATTCCCCCTTCGCTGGTGTTCCTCTCTTGTTCGTCTCTCGTCTGGTTGGTTTTCTTGTTCGTCTCCTGGATTTTGTTGGGAGCTCATGGTCGACCAAACATGAAGGCCCTGTGGTTGCAACGGGCAGGGGAGCAAACAATTAAAATAATAATTGCTCTTTGTTGCAGGTAGTGCCTGTACTACTCCATAGTATTGTAGATCGTAGATCGTACAGGCAGAAGGGTGGATTTTTGGTGCTTTGCAGCCTTGAGCTGGCCCTAAAAGATAAGTAACAGTGATCCTGTTCTTCGTACTGGTCAAAACTCGGAGCAACTACCTTAATCGGCCACATGCCTCCATAACATCAACACTGCTCAGAGCAAGTCTTTTCCAGAAATAACAGGGAAAAAGAGCTAAGGAAAGACTGTTCCACGCATGTTTCCACCGAGATCTGTTTTTTGGAAAGCCATCTGGCCACAAGCCAGTTTTGAAGTTTCTAAGCAAATCGTCGTATATTTTTATACTGTGAAGCTCCAAGTACTTGGCTCCTAAGTATGGCAATGATGCTATCATGGTGCTGATTTGTCCTTAAAACACCTTCGATTCTCACTGTAACATTGTAGTAGAAAATTTCAGAGTACTATTTACTATAGAGATTTTCTAAAAAAACTCATAGATTCTGAGCTGGCCTTTGTAAGTTGCCGAATTTCAAGAAAGGTTCCGCAATCTGGTGATAGATCTTAGTTGATAACAATGGAGGATATATGGAGCGTCAAAGGCGTTGGTTCCCAGACGTTCGAGAAAGGAACGTGGCTTCAATTTAAGCGACTGTCGGCTGTGCTGGAGTACTAGCTACATGTAGTAGAGCCTGCTCAGTAGTACGGTACAATAGATATAAGATATTATTTATAGAGGATGGAGTGTTACTATATAGTTCGAATAGCTCTTCGAATCCGTTGAACATCGAATTCAAACAGCTGAACTCATCATTCACTGGAGTGTGCAGACTGAAGTACTGTATGGCTTCGGAGTAAAACTCAGGTTGAGGTGGTGGTGTGGTGGTCAAAGGGCCAAAGAGCTTAGATAATAAGTAATCGTTGTCGGAAAAAGATGTGCTCGGGGCGTCGAACAATGATCTTTCTGCTATTTTAATAAATAGAATCTACGGTCGACATAGAAGCTACACAGATCAGTTTTTTCTCTGATGTGGCACAAACGGGATTGCAGTTCGAAAAGTACTTTCTTCTTAAAGCAAGGTTTACAGCTGTGGCGTTCACTCTGGGTTGTGGAGTACTCCCGAACAAGAGGCACCAGTCAGTAAGTACATTCTTTCCAGTGGTTCTTTGGTCACAACTCCGATCCGGATAGAGCATTAAATTTTACGATAACTAGTCTAAGTGTGTCTGGGATGGTCTGGGGGTTCGGATGTTCGGTCTCGCGTTTGGTGAACTTTCAGCTTTCAATCCATAACCCATAACCTTTTTTTAAACTATCCTATTGCCTGAAGCTGGAGTAAAATTCCTTCGAACTCCTCAACTCCCTCGAACTGTACAATTCAAACAAAGACCGTTTTCAACGCTCACATTTTGCCCCTCGTTCCGATGTTCTGAGATCAGATGAACTCAATGATTTTCATCAACAGACAATTATTCAAACTCTACAGGTTGTACTCCAGTAGATCTACCTGTCAAGCGACGGTCTAGCTACGGTCTAGATACAGATTAGCAGATGATGATATCGGCTCCAACCGTACCCAAGGGTTGGAATGCCTTGATGAGAAGGAACTTCATCTACCGCAAACGTAATTGGGTTTCCACAGTGAGTCTAGACAGTTTGGTTCCGTGCTGAAGTCGAGTCCTTTATTTCTTGTGTCTAACCGACAACTGTTGTCATGGAAATTGCTTTATAGATTGCCGAGTTGGCTCTTCCAGTTCTGTTTTGTTTCGTTTTGGTCTCGTTGAAGGAAACTGCCGAAAAGAGTGAACATTTTAAGCCAAGAGAGATTCCGGCGCATTTCCCCTCAGACATTCAAGCCATTCAAATTCTATCATTTACCGATTATATCACCGCCTTACAAGCCAAACGGATTTGTCTAGCGAAGAACAGAAACACCACAGTGCCAAACAATAATGATGACGTGAAAACGAAACGAAACCATTCCAACTTTGTCATTAGTGGCATGCTTGATCATGGTCGAAACTGGCAGGTGCCATTCATTCAATGTGATTCTCGCCATTGCAAACATCACGGAGAAGAGGCGTACCGGTATTGTCACTATCCCAAGCTGGGACTCGCGGCTAGCACGCCCACGGACCTAGGAGGGATGCAACGCGCTCGAGACTTTCAGACTTACGTCTACAAGAGGTACCCACAACTGCACAACACAAGTCTTCCAGCCCTGAAGAGCAGCGGCAACTTCACTCGCTTCTTTGAGAGTAGCCAAGCATTGGATGACTACATTCAGCATCCGGGCTATGGCATTGGAGTCGAAAGAGCGAAGCTCGCCATGGCGATTGTCTTTACTGGCAACGACACTACCAACTACGATTATGCTATTCGAGTTAATTCCACAAACAACAATGCACCCGAATACAGTGGTAAAGGAAGCAACACGTGGCGTACCACACCCGATACCAATCGCATGTTTGCAAGCCTTGCGAAGCGTGAAACACAAGCCTGTCGGTTCTTGGGTCAACCCCAAGGCCCACTGGAATATTCATGCACTGGGCAGTACATTCTCAATGGACTCCTCACCACGCAGCGGTTCGTACAGGATTGGATTATGGTAGACACTGGAGCACATGACGCGGGCCTCTTCGTTGCGGAACACGGGGTCAAGTTTGCGCCCTTTCCATCCAAGGCTTACCAAGAGCAAGGCTTTTACACTGTTTTAAATGGTACGTAATGTATCTATCTAATGTTGTCTGAAAGTGGGTACTTGAAAAGCAGCTACTCTCATCCACTACATTCAACATTGTGTTTTCGTGGGCAACGTTTACATGATTCGATTCGATCGACACGACACGACAATACGCGCATCAGGATTCTTGGCACTGTTCCTGACCCTAGGCTTTCTGTACCCAGTCGCAAGTATTATTTCTTACATTGCCACAGAAAGAGAGACGGGGCAGAAGGAGTTTCTGAAAATGATGAGTGTCAAAGAGTGGGAGATTGGCACTAGCTGGTTTTGCACTTTTCTTTTGCTTCATATGGTGACGGCGAAACTTCTGACTAGGATTTCAAGACCTCTCTTTGCCTATTCGGATCCCATGCTGCTATGGACCTTTTGGCAATCAGCACTGGTTTCGTTTGTTGCCTTTGCTTGTTTTGTACCCTCACTTGTAGTGGCCAAAACGAATAGTGCATCCAGAACTGTCCTAGTTGGATTACTCTTGTTCCTCTCGGGTTACTTCTTGTCACAGTCCATAGATCTGGAGGATGGTGATCCGTTCTGGATGAAAGTTCTCTGTCTTCATCCAGGTGCTGCGTTTGCATACGGGGTGCAAACACTTGGAAGATTAGAGGACGCTGGTATCGGGACTAATTGGAACTCTATTGACTCGAGCGACAGTCCCTCAGGATTCACTGTTTTCGTGTCATTGCAATTTCTATGGCTTGATTGCCTTCTTTACACATTACTTTCGTGGTACTTCAATCGAGTTTTTCCTGGCACAGAGCATGGAAATGCGTTGCCGTACAGCTTTCCTCTACGACCTGCCTATTGGTTTCGGTGTTTTCAAACGCAACAACTCACTAACCAAGCCCCCTTTGAATACACTCCCGCAAATAATGATGAAGAGTCTGAGATACCCATGGAACCAGTGTCAGAATCGTTGCGACAGCAGTCGCAAATGGGTAGCAGCGTTGAATTGCACAATCTGCGAAAAGTGTTCCCCAACTGCCTTGGCAATAACAGTGTCACTGCAGTGGACGGGCTCAATCTATCCTTGTATCAAGGGCAGGTTACGGCGTTGTTGGGACACAATGGTATGTGGAGGCTCGCTGCGTACATTTAGCCTTGTAAAGGATTTTCATCTTACGGTACTTGTTGCTTTTCATTGACAGGGAGTGGCAAGAGTACAACGATAAAGATGCTGACGGGTGCAATTGTTCCAACCGATGGTTTCCATGTTGTTGCTGGAAAACGCAGCACCACGCAGATGGAAGGTATTAGAGAGACGTTGGGTATTTGCCTGCAGAACAACGATGCACTATTCCCAAAGCTGACAGTTCAGGAACATCTTTGCTTCTACAGTCGATTGAAAGGTGTGTCCTCCAAAACGGAAGAAGTCGACCGAGCATTGAAAGATGTCGGTCTGGACGAAAAGCGTCATACTCTATCAATGCACCTCAGCGGAGGCATGAAACGAAAACTATGCGTGGGCATCGCATTCTGTGGAGACAGCCGTCTGGTTGTTCTCGACGAACCAACCAGTGGAATGGTAAGCTCAGGCATATCCACCAATGATCAGTGGATCCTTCTTGTTTGTCTAACATGCAATTCCTGGGGTTGCGGTTTGTACCGTAGGATCCATCTTCACGTCGATTCACCTGGAATCTGATCCAACGATATCGACCAGGCAAGATCATTCTCCTCACCACACACTTTCTCGTAAGTAGGCAACGAATGAACGTTTTGTGATCATGCATGTATGTCTCAAAGCAAAGTTTTGTATTCCCACTTTGTTTGGCAGGATGAAGCTGATCTTCTTGCCGACAAAATCGCGATCTTGGCTGATGGGCGCCTACAGTGTGTAGGCAGTCCGCTGTGGTTGAAACGTCAATATGATGTCGGATACAGACTGACCATTGCAAAAGACGCTGGCAACTCGCCTCTCCTTGGAAATGATCAAAAAGTTCGGGACGATAAGTTGATCGAAATGGTTCATCGTGTCGTCACGGGATCACGGACTCTTTCGATTTCAGAGAAGGAACTGACATTCCACCTGCCACTGTCGAGTACTGGTTCTTTTGGTACGATGTTCCGTTACCTTGACACCGAAGTCAACCAAGGAGTTCTGGTGTCATATGGAATTGGAATGACAACTCTGGACGAGGTCTTTCGAGAGGTTGCGCGAGGTACGAAAATGAGGTGCTCAGAAGACGACGAAGATGCTCCTTCAGGTCCAAACAGAAAAGAGAATTGGTTTCCCACAAGCCTGCAAGCGAGCAGCACCATCTCCCCAAAGGGCAACAACACACGATCTCATACTTTCTGGAGACACCTATATGCGCTTCTTTGCAAACGCCTCATCAACTTCCGACGAGACAAAAAAGCGTGGTTCGCCACCACGATTCTACCTGGCCTCTTTGTCCTGTTTGGTTTCCTGGTACTCAAGTATGGCGACACTCAGAAGGCGCTGGGACCTCTACGATTAGACTTGACTTCCTACAACCAAGAAGATCAGCTGATAACGCCGATCGGGACACAAAACCCTGTACCATTCAATAGCCCCGGACGGGATTTTAGGTGCCAGCCTGGATGGTGCTCATATCAATATCCGATCAGCAAAGTAAAGGAGACCGATGAAATGTACTTCTTCTGCGGGGGTCAATCATATCTCCTGTCTTCTCCAAATTGTTCCATAGACGTGTCGAGCACGATCATGGGCAGGTTGAACAATTCGGAGATCACTCCCATTGGCAGCAACGTTGGAAACATAAACGAGGTAAGCCTAGGAACGATGAACGATGCAGTACTTTATGGCAAGTCCAAGCCTAGGGCTCACGACCGTCATCAAAACACCGAAGTCATCACACAGTATCCTCCGTAGTGCACCCGGATTCAAAGACTCCCAGTACGGTGCTATCTGGTTTACGCACCAGGCGAACTCTACGCTCGACGGTGGAGGTGGCTCGTACGGAGAGAAAGCCGCTGGCCGTTGTCATGCCATGACAAGAGAGTACATGATGGACACTGAATGCGATCTTTACAAAGGTTTGGGATATGTCATCAGGTGAGGCCTGGGCAACCCTTGTTTGCAGTTGCTTTCTTTGTGGTTTGAATGCTCTGATGAAACGATTATCATTCCCCCTTCACCTCAAGTTACAACTTCACGGCTATTCATGTGGCGGTAAGTTCAATCATTGACAGAGCTCTTTGGGTATCTCCGTTGCAGGTGTCTCTCATCCACTCGCAACTCCATTGCATGGTGTTCTGCTTCATAGCCACTTTTTCAGAAGCTGGCTGACGAGGCGATCATACGCGAAGCCATCAACAATGACGAGCTTCGTATATCGCCCACCATTCACCCGCTCCCCAAAACCCAGTTGGAGAGTCGCTTCAGAAAGGAAGATGACGTTTTCAGTTTGTGGTTTATGGTTGTATTGTGAGTCAATACAGGGGACTCTGAGTCTTGATGTCTTGATTCGCTAGACGACTGACCAACCTCTTCACATCTCAGGAGCTTCCCGATTATTGCAGGCTACATGGCCAACTTTGTGCTTCTCGAAAGGGAATCAAAAGTGAAACATCTCCAAACCCTTGCAGGCGTGGAGCCAGCCACGTATTGGTTATCCTCGATACTTTGGGATACAATGAATTATCAACTTCCTCTGTGGTTTACAGGTAGGCACGAGGTTAGCTCCGTTTAGATGCCTCAAGCAGCAATTTTAACTGAACACTTCTTGCGTCTCGAACCACCTTTTCAGTCTCATTGATGCATGTGTTCGACGTTGAGGTTTTCACAACTCTAGAGCGAGACACACGGGGAGGAGTGATCTCGCTCCTTTTCTTGTTTGGACCTGCTGCGGCCTCCTTTGCGTACTGTGTATCTTTCTTGTTCACATCGGCAAGTCTTTGCAACATGTTCATTATTACCACTGGTTTTATCACCGGCTTAGGAGGGCCCATTGCAACGTATACTCTCCGTCTACTCGGTTCCGATCCCGACGACCCGTGGGAGAAACTGATCAAAATCGCACGAGCTTTGGAGTGGACTTTGAGATGCACCCCTTCCTTTTGCCTTGGAAAGGGCTTGTTTTATACCATCAATATAGGCACCTTTCAGATGCAAAGAGCGGACGCCATAACGGTATGGGATGGGTCGATTCTGTTCTATGAAGTCATTGCCCTAGTGCTCCAAAGCTTTGTGTATCTGCTTCTAGCAATATGTCTCGACCGAGCGCAAAGAAGTCAAAATTTGAGTCTGTACTGCGGGCAATTTTGGTCGTTTTTGACATGCAATGTCCGAAGAAGGTATGAAGCATGCTCTACTTCAGACGATACAGTTGAAGACAGCGATGCCCTGGAAGAAGAAGATCGTGTTCTATCGGATAGAACGGCCGAAGATTCTATGGTCTTACGTCGGCTGTCAAAAGTGTATGGAAACGGAAAGGTTGCAGTCGACAATATGTCCCTTGGAATCCTACCTGGCCAGGTCTTTGGGCTGCTCGGAGTCAACGGTGCGGGCAAAACAACTACCATGTGTATGCTAAGTGCAGAGTTTGCACCAACGAGTGGCGATATCCTTCTGGCTGGACAAACGGTGACGTCTGACATACGCCAGCTGCGAAGCAAATTGGGTTACTGTGCTCAGTTCGACGCCCTATGTGAGAACCTGACGGGCCGCGAACATGTGGAATTGTATGCCGCGTTGAAATGCATGGACTCCTCCATCATCAAGGATGCAGCCGACAAAATGTTGTCCGAGGTTGGCTTCAGCGACTTTGACAAAGATAGATTGAGCCGCTACTACAGTGGAGGAATGCAACGAAAGCTAAGTATCGCAATTGCAATGATTGGCGACCCGATAGTGGTACTTCTCGATGAGCCGACCACTGGAGTTTGCCCCGTTTCAAGACAAGCGATCTGGAGGATCATTTCGAACTTGGCATCGAAAACTTCGGTTGTGCTGACTACGCATAGTATGGACGAATGCGAAGCTTTGTGCTCTCGTATCGGGATCATGTCAAATGGTAGACTCGTGTGCCTCGGGTCAGCTCATCATCTCAAATCAAAGTTTGGCAGTGGATTGTATCAGCTGGAAATGAAAGTCCATTCTGTGGAGGAATCCGATTCAGATTTTGCTTCGATCTATGACAAATTGTCCTTGATCAAGGAGGCCTCGAATGTCGACATTGAAGCAGTGCAATTGAGAGATGGCAATGGGATCTTTTTTGATCTTCAGGAAGCCTACGAAGCACTTGACGCTATCACGATGGACGGCCACTTGTCTATGAGATTGGCGCCTGACAACTCGGAAACTTCGGCCGTTTACAATGAAGCGCGCTCTCTCGCCGGTGTCAGTCTGTGGTCTTTGGCGTCGTTCGCAGCAACTGAACTGCGTATTCGCCAGATCCACCAGTTTATGTGCAATTCCTTCCAGGGTGCGGCTCAACGAGAACGCCAAGACTTGAAGCTCAGGTATGAGATCCGAGCGAGCATCCCTTTAGCTGACTTGTTCTCAACGATCGAGGAGCATAAGGAGACTTTGTGCCTTTCGGAGTACGGAGTAAGCCAGACATCCCTTGAACAGGTGTTCAACATGATTGCTCGCGATCAACAGCACTGCCAATAGGATCAATCAAAGGGACCTCGTCGGACGTAGAGTAGATCACAGGATACGACTGCACGCGCACCGTATGGACTTGCGTCCCCTTTCAATTTTTGGAATTGGTGTCCGGCCACGGCTCAACTTCGCAACCGCGTTTTCTTTCGCACAAGGAGACAAACGTAATTCTTCGTTAGACATGGTTGGTAAGAATGGATGCATGGGCGCCATTAGGCGCTCTTGGGTATTGATGGCCGTGAAAGGCAACTGAAACCAAACAGATGCAAGCATACAACTAACTCTAGAGCATTCGCAACGACACGCCTGCATTCGACTTGTCCACCCAGATACCCATCACCCAGGTTAAAAGCTCACAAGGGCAATGGAGATTTGGCACCAGTCAAATCTGCATGGTTGCTGATCCTCAATCCTTCCAGTGAGTCAACTGCGCCAATTCGTTGGGCAAGGAGCCACTCAGAATGTTCTCACAGAGTTCAGGCCGTTAAGGATGTCATTGGTCTCAATGTCGAAGGAACGGTGCCCGAAGAAAAATTGTTTTCGCGCATATATCGAAGAATTTCAAACGGCTAAGTCGTTGCCCATGGCAGCTGTGTAGAAAGTCTGGTCTGGTGGATGTTTGCTTTCAGAATTTGATTCCTCCCAAACACATCCATTCCATCATCTTCGCCGAGTACACGTGTACCCCCTGGTCGTTCCGAAGCTACCAGTACTGGTACCGGTACGAGCTTACCATGAGATGCCCACTCTACCGTAGTGGCCCCTCTCCGACCGTAGCGGGAAGGAAGACATAATTGGAGAGGTAGTTGCGGTAAAAATTTGGTAATCTAAGGTATTTTATGTACGCATCTACTAGTACACTGTACCTGCATTCTCAAGCTTCACTGTACCGGTCGTACGATTGAATTCTGATTGAATTGAAAAATTCGTTCTACGGACTGCATCGACATGATCACAAAGCTGTTGCCATCCACATGCGGGATACCTCGTGCTGTCAGAACCATGTCAATAAGAAGCCGAACAAAGCAAGACACTCTTCCATACCCAGGGTTACAATGGAGTGAGCAAGCTCAACTATGTTGCCCAGTAGCTAGCTATGATCATCACACATGCAACTACTACATGTACAACGGGCAATACCGGTACAGTACGATGTAGCTAGCTCTTTAAAACTATTAGCCATCGTTGACTTTGTGTCGTATCGTATCGTAAGTTAAGTAGCAAATCACGCAAGGTCTCGTGCAGAAAGCGTAAATGCAGTACAAAAAGGCGTACATGTATTAGCGCCGCAGTAGCAAAAAGTCAGTCAAACCGGCCGCCTACAATTGATGGCGGACCCAAAACCACGAGACGGAGCGGTCTCGATTCTAAAGGCAAAGCAAAAGGATCACTAGACTTGAAAGAAATCACAAGCTCGGAAAAAGGACCTCTGTAGTCTCCAAAATTGAAAGCTCATGACTTGACCGGTGCCTCCGTCTTGGTTCTTTGAATGGTGGATTCAATCTCTTCCTTGGGGGTAATCAGTTTGCCATCATTGACAGGCAGCCCAGTCTTGTTCAAATGACTGAGGTCTGGTGGTGGTGATGAAGCAACAACGAGGGACAGTGTGAGAATACCAGTAGATTCATACGCAGATCTGTAGCAAGGCCTAGATAGCTAGCCATAAACCTCTACTGTACTTACATCCGGACCATCCAACCAACACAGTATTCTGCACCAGGACTCGGTGTTGAATTGGTACAAAGTAAAAGTTCAGTGAATGAACAGCAGGCCATAACTTCCAGTGCTGCAGCATGGTGGGCCACAACATGTGTCGTGCTCTGGACTCCGATTCGTCTAGGATCTCTCCAACGGATCTGTCTGGCTGTGCCGAGATATCCTGCAGAGACTTTGTGAGAATGTAGTAGGAGTAGACGTACAGCGGAGCCGCACAACCCTGATCAATGACAACCTTCACTGCTGTATTCAACAGACGACTCCTCGCAGCGGGCACTAAGGAGCCTATTGTCGTCTCTAGGAAACCCCACCAAACATGCAAGTAGGCCGTTGCGACAACACCAAAGCAAGCACCGCTGGAAGCACGAGCAATGTCATACGACTCTTCTGGGTCCATCAACCTTTGAGTGGCAGAATCGCTGGTGAAGAAGATGAGTGCCGCAGCCGTCATCTTGGTTGTCAAAGGGCGCTTCTCCAGCGCCGTCGTGTAAGCATTCCACACCCGCTTTCCCAGAGGAGCCGATCGGGAAGTTGCCACAGCGGCTTGGCCAGCAGCCTGAGATGCTTTGCATCGTCGAATCGAGAGTTGGAATCGACCCACGGAAGACGGAGACGTCTTGAGCGCCACGGTCCTGGGGGTGGACACTGCCGCTGACACAAACATCATCTTTCTATACGGAAAGCGTAGTTGGCTCTTAATAGGTGAGTGAGCTGTGTGAGCTCCGTGTGTTGGTGTGGGTGCCGCTCTCGGTGACGATGAGAAAGAACGCTTTGAAAGCTGCCAACAAGAATTTTGTTCTCGTCGTCCAATCACCTCGTTCTCCTTGCAAATTCACCCCGCGAGGTTCAAATTTCCGCTTTCCTCTTTTCGCCTTGTTCGGCTTGTGTTGAACTTGCATCGGCCGCGGTGCGGCATTGGCACTCGTGACATGACCCAACCAAGCGAACGCTCCCTGTCATGCAAGTGCGTGTCGACGTCGCTCGTCAAAGCTATCTATCTTTGGTCTGGACAACAACAGGCAGGATACCGATAGGCCATGCATTACAAGTGGAGGTACTGGCTAGTAGCTAGTATTGTAAGCCAAAGCATTGCCATGTACCGGTACATGTAACGGAATCGAATCCTTTGCTGTCTTGGATCCAATCCGCTCGTAGTGGTACCGATTTGTATCCATATTGGGCTTTGGATACCTCGCTCCTGACACTCTTGCATGCATTTTCCGTGGCACTTTGAAGTCCTTCTTTGGGCTGGCTTGAATTCACTAGCTAGCTAGTCTATCAATGCGTTTTAGAATCGAATCCAGGCATGGAAACCTTGCAAGGCCAGCGTGCTTGTGATACAATATCATACAGCCACCAGACCATCATCAAGCGTGGGCTAGCATTTGTTTGCACCTGCCACCAGACCATCATCAAGCGTGGGCTAGCATTTGTTTGCACCTGCCAGTACGAACTGCCTGGCTCCAGGACGATCTCTGTGAAATACAGAGTTATTTTATACAATAAATATTTCCATCGTGTCCAGATCAAACAGTCCGTGTGGTCTAGAGGCATGATTCCTGCTTTGGGTGCAGGAGGTGTAAGTAATTGAAGCATATCCGACGACCTCGATCTACCACGCTCACACTCACACAAGACCATTCGTCCATTGTCAACGTCAGCCCGGGTTCGAATCCCGGCACGGACCAATTCCTTTTTGAAGCCCGCTGCTACCCTGAACTTTGTTTTGTCGGCTCTGAGCAACCCTGAAGCACCCTTGATGCCACCCTTCTTTTGTTTTGGATCCTATGAGCAACCTGAAGCACCCAGGATGCTAGCCTTCTTTTGTTTTGGAGGTTCTGTGATGCCCTGAAGCACTCTCTATTGGCAGAATTTTTGTTTTGGAGGCTCTGAGCAACCCTGAAGCATCCATGATGCCATCCTTCTTTTGTTTTGGTCCAAGCACTCCAGGGGTGGACCCTTTGGTTTCCCTTCCTTCTCAGCTCTCTTTTTCACTACCCAATGTCTATCCGATGAACATTCTTGCTCCTTTTGTCCTCTTTTGAAGCCTCTCAGCTACTCCAAAGCTCTTCATGGTGGGGACCTTCTTTTGTTTCCTTGCGGTCTATATCAACTACGTATAGCACCACACAGAGTTGCCCTTCTTTTGTTTTGGAGCCTCCCTGCTACCCCGAACACTTCATGGTGGACCTTTTATTTCCCTGCCTTCTCATGTGTCGACCTTCTCTGTTTTGCAGCCTTTCAGCTACCTGTAGCACTGTGTCGTCTGGATGATGCGATTTTCATGTTTTAAAATTTGTGCTAGCAAGACTTTAATCTCTTAGTTCTTGAGATAGATTGAATCGAATCATTCAGTAAATCTTGAACAAATAGAATGTCCGCATTGGCTACCAGTACGGAACCCGTTATGCGTGGAACTGCATTTGTGATCACGAGTAGAAACGTACCTACCGTAACAAGGCAGGTACTAGTAGAGTCTAGGCGAGAGGACGCTCCTTTCAATGCCATCACGAGGGGAGTTGTCTTTTGCTGCGCTGGGCAGCCACTGAATCCATGATGGACCACGCCTGTGTCTGGCTGGTTTGCCTTTTCCCAAAGCCCAATTCACTACCTACCCGTACTGGTGGCTACTACGGTACGAGCAGGCTGATTCCATACACCATTTACGACCAAGAGGCAGAGACCACTGTGCCGTTAGCTAGAGAACTGTGGAACCAACTAAATAATTACATTATTGTATGTACGCATGCATCGAAAACGTCTGGAATGACCAACAGCAGTCCGTACTGTAGCTACTTTGTTTCGGTTGCCCCCTTCTTCTTTGCAGCACCACCTGTGGTGCATCTTCGATGAATGTTGTGGCACATGGATGGTCTGCCCCGAAGAAAGCACGTATGGAAGTAGCTCAGCTTTCCCCGTTCCTTGCCAACCGTGATCTTTCGAAAACCATACAGGTTGAGCTGCTTCTGAAAGGAGGACAGTTTGCAGTCGCCAAAGTATCGAGGCATGATTTCTCGAACAAACGTGTCTTCATCGTGAATGCCAAACGCCTTCCCATGAGGTGGGAGAAACGAAACCACGTCTTCGCGGCCTTCCTTCTTGGCTTCGAAGATCATGCGGTACAACTTGATGGGAAAGCGTTCCTTTTGAGAGCGACCTTTGATCATGGCAAAGAATGCATCCTCGTCTTCTTCGTCCGTGGGAGCTCTTGCCCTCGTCGTCGTGGACTGTACAGGTGTCGAATCGGGAGCTTGCGGGAAGCCTTGGATGGGACCAGCTCCTTGATGGAACGACGCCGCAGCAAGGGGGTTGCCCGGCAAAGACGTAGGGAGGATTCGTCCATAGGACGACGCCAAACCGAGATTGGCAATGCTCCCCGGAGCAAACGAAGGTTGCTGCGATGCAAACGAAGGCTGTGAAGCAAACGAAGTCTGCTGTGAAGCAAATGAAGGCTGCTGCGACGAAAACGCAGACGAGGGGGTTCCAGAAATCAAAGGATTGGCACCACCCAACACGTGGTGATTGAAGATACCCGCAGAGCCCAGTCCACCAGCACTGACTGCCAAGGTGTCAAGCCCACCACTGTGTCGACGAAGAAGAGCCGATGCTTGTGCGTGCTGTCTGAGCTCTGCATCCAACATAGCCCTGGCTCTGACTCGTTCTGCCAGCTCCACGTCGAGAGCCGCCCTAGCTCTCATTCGTTGGGCCAGCTCTGCATCGAGAGCGGCTCTGGCGTTGGCTCGTTGTGCGAGCTCTGCATCGAGGGCGGCTGCGGCTTGTCTCTCCAATGCCTGTTGCTCCAGCTCTGCTCCCAGAAGGGCTGTCCTGGCTTGTTGGTCTCGTTCGGCAGCTCTAGCCCTGGCTCTCTGTTCCGCCGCTCGAAGCTCCGCCGCCTTTCTATTTGCTGTCGCTTGCTCCGCTGCAATTTTGGCCGCTTCTTGCTCAGCTGCCTTTCTAGCCGCTTCATGCTCGGCGGCCGCTTTCTGTTCGCGCGCCGTGTCCATGGCGTCGAGAGCTCTCATTTCATAAAGAAGGTCATGAGACTGCCTTTCATGCTTCAAGTGTTCTTCGAGTAGATTTCGTTTGGGACCTTTGCCTCTCCGCTGCTTCACCTTGTCCAGGACAGAGCTGGGTCGCTTGGTCGATGTTGATAGGCCTGCTATTTCGCTGGTGGATGGAATTGTTAGCTTGGCTTGTCCTTGGGCGGCCATTGTATGGTGGAAGGGCATGTTTTGGTTGTGGGTGTTATTGCTTCTAGAGCTAGCCAGAGGACTTTTCGTGATTTCGAAGAACGTTTTACTTGTCCTGGAGCTCCTGAATTTATAATGGTATCGCTGGTATAAAAATTCGAACAACGTTAGCGTCGCCTTTTCTCGAAAGTTGCTTTCGGTGTTCCGCAGGAGCAGAAATGAGATATGCTTCCCAATCACTTTTCTGCAATCAGTTCGCTGAGATAGTTGCCGAATGAATCAATCTCTGTTGCGGCTTCTCCCGCTCCTCTAACAAGGCGAAAGTAAACTGGATGGATGGTACTGAGATAGATGGTGCAGTGTTTCGAGAACTTTGTGTTCGACGCTTTCAGGTCTTTGTGGAACACGCAGCAACAAGGTGAATGGTCAGCTATGGTCAACAGGAGGGCTTTTTGGCTGCTTTGTGGTGGTGGTGGGTGCTTGCACTGTGCTTGCCAATCGCGCCGGTCCGAGGTTTCTCTTACTGGTAAGTTTTAAGAGCTGTTTCACTAGTTAGATTTGTAAATCAAGTGAACCCATGGGGAACCCCTGGGTGTCGCTGGCACTCGAATCCGGGTCCTGATGATTTAATAAAACAAGACAGCGGCACACTTACTTTATGACGTGAAACACACTTGATGTTCTAGATCCAGTTAAATATGATTGCGACATAGACGCGAAATTGTCATTCGACAGTGTCTTTGTTTCGACGACAATGACTACTGGGGAGTGGGGAGCTGCTAGTTACTGCGGAGTGTTATTTGGCCTTTCCTTTGCGTTGACTCATTCAATTCAAGCTTTTTTAAAAGCTTGAATTGAATGAGTCAACGCAAAGGAAAGGCCGTGCGAACCCCCGTACTTAAAAATTTATTAGTGTGATAGCGTGCATTCAAAAAGTACCGGTAGTTGTCGCACTCGATCTGTCGCCCTGGCTCGCAAACTGACAAAGTACATGTACATGTTGTGGAGTCGTTGACATTATCTAACTCTGCATTCTTGAGGTCAGACTTGTGAATGTGCACTTATTAGATGTTGGGCAGTCCTGGAATTATTGAATGTTACCGAGTATTCGGTATTTCAACGTTCAACTCAGCGAATCCAAAGTACAAGTAAAGAGCAAATTGACTACTAGTAATTGAACTGATTAACTGTACAGGGAGCCATATCTTTTTGTAATGCTTTTTAAAAAACAAACGTTTTATAACAATTCTGGACTGTATGATTTATTTCGAAGAAACGGTAAATTGAACATTCTCCTATTCTCGAAGAAACAAAGGCCTCAGTCTTTGTTATATCTCAGCTTGCGTAAGTTGATTGTCCATGGTACAGTGTACTTGCTTCAACAACTACGACATGCTTCACAGAAATCAAGTAGCACACTGCTTCGAGATTTAAGCCAGCACATTCGCCCTTTCAATTTTTGGTCAAGGCGCAAAGCTGAAAGGTTTGAACACGATGACGTCATCCTCAGTCTCTCCGAGAAAGGATTGATCATACGATTCGATTCGATTCGACGATCATTCGATTCGTAGGGAGCACCCATCCGTGGTGACGGCAGCAACCTTCGACCTGGGTTATTTGTCTGTTTCGCCCATAAGTGTTTTGGCAATAAAGTGCTCCTGAGACTTAAGGTGGTCGCACCCAGGATCTAAGCCAGCTCAAAAGCTGCATGAGAGTTGACGTTCTTTCGCACATATGTTTCGTATAAATTACGGAATCTGGAATCGTCTATACACTGTTCAAAGGAATCTTGCTTGATATTCTCGCTGGATTTGATCTTTTCAAGTTCGAGCCATAATTCTAGGTACTGTCCTCTAAGTAATGCTGACAAATCTAGACCGACCGAGCGTGTCGACTCGCCAAATTGTGGCAGTTGCAATGGTTGAGAGTTAGATCCTCACATTTTTGTGGTGCTCCAACGACTGGCTCGCGAAACCTTATAGTAAAAGAGTACATCTAACACGTTTCACCCAAAATTCGATTTCAAACGATTGAAAAAGGGAGATTCCGTTTGAAAGCAAACAGCCGAATTGGAGGTCCACCACAAGAACCAAACAACGCACTCGATCGCGCTGTAAGAGAGGCTCATTATCTCGATGTCTGCTGCTTCGGAGGGCTTATTGCTGTAGCAGTTCTTCTTCCTTTGACTATAAGGAGGACTGTAGGCCCCGGTCTTATGCCCATCCTTCCAGCATGCATCGAGATTTATCGGCTCGAAGCAGCCGAATCGAAAAAGTCGACATCGCTTTCCACAGGTCACCAAACTCAACAGGTGGAGGAAATATCACCGTTGAACCAAGGCTGAACCTGTCGGCAGTACTATTAGGAACAGCTCTTGTACTGGTATAAGGTGTGTGGCTCAACCTTACAGCGATTCCAGCACCCCTTTCAGCAGCAGGTGCGATCGTTTGTTGTTTGTTGCTTTCTCTCGATAGCACCGTGTTAAAGGTTGCGTAATATTGACAGCTTTCCGCTGGCTTACATCCTGGGTGCGACCACCTTAAGTAGACATTGGTAGACACGGTAGACATTGTAAGACATTGGTATACATTTGGTAGACTTTAGTAGACTTTTAGTAGACTTTGGTGGACTTTAGTAGACATTGGGTAGCGTGATTTGTCCCTCACAAATCTTCACTTAGGCTAAGTGGTTGAATTTTCACTTAGGCTAAGTGATTCAATTTGATTTACTTAGGCTAAGTGAGCCACTTAGCCTAAGTGATTCAGTCAGTCTTATTTGATTTAGTCAGTCACATTTGATTCACTTAGCCTAAGTGAATCACTTAGCCTAAGTGATGCTCTCCGTGACAGCTTCTCTCAGCTCATAATCTGTCAGATTTCAAAGGCACTGGGAAAACTCTGCCTCTGAGACATATCAATATAAAAACTGTTAAGGAATGATCCCTTTTGCTTGGGGGGTCTAATGAATTCCTCTGTCATTTGTTGACTTAGTTCCAATGCATTTGATCCAATAGCAGTGGAAAGAACTCGAACTTGATCTGGAGAGTATTTCTGGTTGTGACCAGCATGGTGTTTGCAACCACGTTGCAACCTAGGAAGGTATCATCGATTATGCTGGGAACACCAATAGACATTGAAATAGAAAGGACATTTCTCGTCAACACCTTTGATGGGACGTGATGTTTTGTGAATCGTTCCTTCATCAACTTTCTTTTTGCTGCGAAGTGATTGCTTGGTAGAATTTGAAACGGTAACAATACCAGTAGACACTTCTTTGTGGTATCTAAAACGAGCACATACAAATTTGGTGTGATGACTTTTTCTCGTAACCTTTCATCACTATAAGGAATCCTTGCTCACGACATGCCTTGACAAAATGTGGGCCATTGCAATACACGGCTCTTAGCCTTATTCGCGACTTGATCCTAGATAGGGTTTGAGTTCGACTCATGATATAGTCCTTCATGAATAGTCACTGAGACAGGGTTCTCATAACTGCTAGTCATACTAGGTTGTCGATGGAACATCGCTCTAGATATTTAGCCGGCGTGGAAAGCTTCCACGCTACTAGACAGCAACTAGCTGAAGTTTCCACGTGTTCCGGAAATGGACCGTGGAGTACGTAGAGTTACTATCATAACCTACGATATCACACTTCGAGGCCTCCCACGGGAGACCAACTTCAATGAGCTTCACAACGATCTCTCTCATGGATTAGTTTTCGTAGCTTTCTAATCTCTCTCATAACTTTCATTCTCTCAAACTCAAAACACTCGAAAGATCTTTACACTAGCTTTTAGCGTAGTGCATTTTGTTAACAAACACAATAGCTTCCAGCTACCCACAACCTATTCCTTCACCATGAAGATTGCTCAAGGAAAGCATGCGTTCAGCAACTTTGAGAATTAGTTGCGTGACAAACCCATTCTTCCTCTCATCGACAAAGACAAAGACAAAGACAAAGACAACGAGGTCGACGACACTCGTGCAACTACCTACAAACTTCGCACCATTCCTGCAGACGCAAATAGTGCCAAGTACACTTTCAAGGTAGCCATCATTAATGGCTCCAACACTCCACGTGAGACCATCAAGTGAGCCACGAATATGGAGAAGGTCTTCGTTGGACTCAACCTTGCTGGTGCCGACGACAAACATCGTCTTCTCAAGGAGATGACTTCCAGCTCTGCAAAGAGTGCCTACGAAGCTGGGTGTGCAGGCAGTCGTGCCGTGCGTCATAACGCCCTTCGACAAATTGCTGTGAATGCAATTGCTCCACGCGATGTGGCTTCTGGAGAAACCAAAGTCCAATTCCAGGCTCGTGTCCAAACTGCATGGGACGGTGCAGCAGAACCTGCTCTAAGCGATGCTGACATCACCTTTGGAATCAACGCGGTGATCGAACAAGCCTGTCCTTACAAGGCTCTCGAAAAACAGAAACGCTTCATGCGTCGTAAGATGCGCAAGCCTAGCGAGATGACAACTCGTGCCTACATCAACAACCTCACTCGGATGAACACCGATGAACTTCCACGTTTGCCACCTTTCGGTGCCAATCAACAGTTGAACCAGGACGAATTCATTGACATCATCTGTCATGGCATTCCTCGTTCCTGGATGCGCAAGATGGACGAACACGACTTCGATCCTTTCACTGCCGAGATGACGGCTCTCATTGGATTCTGTGAGCGCATGGAATCTGCTGAAGACTTTGACAAAGGCAGCAATGCCAAGCAAGCTACTTCGAAGAAGAACAGTAGCAAGAAGTACAAGTCTAGCCGCAACAACAACCACTCCTCCAAGAACGAAGGAAAGTGGTGTGACTACCACGAGTCCAGCACTCACGATACTGCTGACTGCATGACTCTGAAGAAACTCAAGTCCAAGTCCTCGTCTGGTAACGATAGCAAGCCAGCGTACAACAAGAACAAGACTTGGAAACGTAAGTCTGACGATGCCAAGTCCTACACCAAGAAGGAACTTTCTGTCCTTGTGAAGAAAGTCTCCACCGCTGCTGTCAAG